CTGACCGTAAACCTGGGGACTATTCGTGACAAATCGGGGGCCATTTAGTCCTTCAGTGACCCTTACCTCCACTGTCCACTGAAGGTTTTCTTCCGCTGCCGAGGTTGGGGGTGGGGATTTCTGGCAAACCTGGGAAGCCATCCATGCCAGCCTTGGCTTCACAAAGGAAGCTTGTGTGCGGTTAGTTGTTTGACATCCGATGTCAGCTGTTTTTCGCTTTTGCCACCTCCATTTCGCGGTAAAACAAATGGATGCTAGTGTGCAGCGTCTGCAAGGTGCGTGGTTTCGTGCATTTCTCGCCGCATGAGTTGATTTGGGAGGCCATGCACCGGTATATGCCAGCACGTGTTCGATCCGTTTTGTCCCTCAGCGATGCAGTTACGCATTGAACTTCCTATCCTGTTGGTTCCCAGCCATCTCCTTGGATCCTAGTTTTTTAGGGTTTCATGGGGTTCCATGTAAAAATAGACTTGGGACAGCTCAGCTATGCATGTGTGTGTTTGTGTGTGTGTGTGAGCTTCTGGTTGCCAGTGATGCTTAATTCTCAATGACACGCGCCACACTCCGAAAAAACCGACGTGGAACGGCAACCAAGATGTCTTGACTGGTTGTAGGCTAGCTAGTTTCTGCTTGGTTCGGCTTAGGTGTTGCATGCCAGTGTTGGTGGTTTGGGGATATGAAGCCCTGACTTTGAACACCACCAATCCCAGCCACCAATTCGAGGGACCCTGACGGTTGAGAACTTCGGGCGGTGAATTCAAAAATTGGAAAACCCCCAGGTGACAATGTTGGAATGTCGATCGCGTTGGCTGAATCTGAGGAACGGCCCAAACCCCGGCGAGGGCGAGCAATGGGAAGGCAGAGGGGAGCGGGGGAGGAGGAACCAAGGCTGTGAGGAAGCCATAAGAGGCGCACTGGGAAATTTGGGATCCACAAAATTGGGGGCTGCCATTTCTGTAACTTTAAAGCGAAACCAACAGGACACACACACACATTTGGACATGTTTGCTTAGCTGGCATTTGCATTCGCCTTCGAGCATCGCTAAGAGCCGACCGAGTTGTCTTGGCATTGCGCTGGAGCTGTTTGCTCAGGTCAATGTCTTCATCTTCAGTAAACCCGCCGATAGAATCATTCTGAGGTTGCCCACCAATTCCTCAGCCGAGAAAAGCCCCAGCAACTTGCAGCATGGCAGTACACACTGGCAGCCCCATAGAGCAGTGCCTGTGTCTCCAAGCACGCATGATCTTCTTTATTTGTGGGCTCTTTGGGGCAAAACACGCAATGGCCTCCGAGAAAAAAGATATCCGCAGGGCACTCCAGTTGCGCTCTTGTTCCAAGTTGCCTACCCAGTGACCGGCAGAAGCGCTGACCCTTTTCTTAGCAGCCGGAAGCCGGAAGACTGCATATGGGAGTTTTAATGAGATGTGCCACGGTTTTTGTCTGCTCAATTGCTTGACTTGGTGTTGCTGGTCATCAGCTATAGTTGCGGTTTAAAAGCCATCGCTGCAGATGCTCAGGAAGATGATTCTCTCGCTACCCTCTCGCCCTCCCTGTCTGTCTGTCTGTCTGTCTGTCTGTCTGTTTGTCTGTCTGTTTGTCTGTCTGTCTGTCTGTCTGTCTGTCTGTCTGTCTGTCTGTCTGTCTCTGTCTGTCTGTCTGTCTCTGTCTGTCTGTCTCTGTCTGTCTGTCTGTCTGTCTGTCTGTCTGTCTCTGTCTGTCTCTGTCTGTCTCTGTCTGTCTCTGTCTGTCTCTGTCTGTCTCTGTCTGTCTCTGTCTGTCTCTGTCTGTCTCTGTCTGGCTCTGTCTGTCTCTGTCTGTCTCTGTCTGTCTCTGCCTGTCTGTCTCTGTCTGTCTGTTTCTGTTTGTCTGTTTCTGTTTGTCTGTCTGTTTGTCTGTCTGTGTTTGTCTGTCTGTCTGTCTGTCTGTCTGTCTGTCTGTCTGTCTGTCTGTCTGTCTGTCTGTCTGTCTGTCTGTCTGTCTGTCTGTTTGTCTGTCTTCTGCCTCTGCGTGCTTGTTAGGCTTGATGCATGTGGCCGTATCAGCGCCTTTGTCACCAACCAGTCCATCTGAGCGCAACTGGGACGCAAGGAGTTAGACCTGGGCCTGGGCCTTTCCAGCGTGCATGGCGTATATTGGGATAGTTAGATGTACCACGTTGGATTCTAGGACCTTGCGCGATGCCAATGGAATCACCTTTTCAGTGACAAGGTGCTGATAGGGCTGCGCCAAAAAGAAAGGCTATGGAGGTGGCAACCAGCCAAAGACCATCAGGTAGCTTGTGGCATGTCCCCTTCCTGTTGGGCTTTGCGAGGCACGATGGGCGGTTTCCAATTTTCTTCTTCGTTTTTTCCACTGCTGCCTCATCGGCCTCATGCTGGGGCGGGCGAGAGAGAGAGAGAGAGAGACGGGAGAGAGACAGAGAGAGAGAGAGAGAGAGAGAGAGAGGGAGGGGGAGTTGCGTCCCGTGCGGGTTATGCTGCGAGATATTCGATTGAGTCAGATTGAGTCTTGATTCGTTGCTTAACAGACGTCCCGTGGTCATTGTTGCAGTATTGAATGCGCCAATCTTGAAGGCTTAGCTTCTGGTCCTCCCCGGGACCTTAACATTTTTTGAAGCGGTTCTGGAGCAGGCGTCTCACCCGTCGTTCCTAGATGTCACTTGCCCTTCTGACGTCATCCCCGTTGTACTTAGACTTCCTTGTGCTGAATTCCTGCCAAGGGTAGTTGCGTGGTGCTGAGCTCGAAAACACATGGATATCAAGCCTTTCATGCGCCGCATTTCGTGAAAGAGCGCCTCTCACTTCAGCTCAGGAATTCAGCTGTCAACATGCTGACAGCAAAGCAGCCTTGATTTTGCCTCGGAGCGGACAAGTACAACTTGATTCACATGGCTGTGGCTCAAAAAGCCGGAATTCCAAAATGGCTTGCCCTGGAAACAATAATTTTGAGCCACGCCCACATCTTGGTCACGTGTTCAGAACCATGAGCTGGGGGGCGTTCGATTCCTTGCACGGGTAGGTGTTGACATGTTTCTGAGAGCTTGCCAGACCAGACATGAGATTGCGATGCTCGTGGAGTCTCCCTTGGAATCTGGACATTTGTGCTCAACGATTTGAGGGTTTCCAATAAAAGTAGTCTTGCGGGATGTCAGATGTTCCTTGGGTCGTCGGCTCTCCAAAATGATGGTGTGATGTCCAATGTCCAATGTTTAATCGTACCCTGGAAAGTCCGCTGGAAGTTAGCCAAATCCCCCAACCATTGCTGAAAAATATGGTTTCTTGGAGCCAGACTCAGAACCCAGGCAACGGGCAATCCCAACCACAAGCAGGCCTTTTGATTCTTTCTGTGGATGAGTAGACCGTTTTAGTACCAGGTTTTAGATACACCCTAGCTCTTAAAAATGTATTTTGACCCCACCCCTCCCTTTTCCAGACTACATTTAAATAAGGTAGTACTGACTGGCGCGATTCGTTTTTGGAACTTGCTGAGGATCGGGAGGACTCTCACGCTTTCGCGCGCGACGCGAGGAGGGCACTGCCAGCGTTCGAGCCGCTCGGCAGTGGGTGCTTTGTGTTTTTTTTGTATTGGAAAATTCAATCAACTCAGGTTTCCCCCAATTGGCTGTTTGCATTGGTTTGGGCATTTGCGCCCCTGGTTCTTGTGGAGGGTAAGTGGTGCAAGGCGTCACGTCACCTTTAGTTGCGTTTAGTTTTTGGTTTGAATTTGGGTTTGAAGACCTGGTTTTGGAGGATTAATGGGAAACCAACCCGGAACTCCTCCAAACCACCGATCTAAACAACCAATCAGAGCGAAGCCAAAAATGGGGAGGGGCGGTGACTCTGCTCCAACTTTACTTTGCCTTTTGAAACCGCTCAACAAATTGCACTCTCAAAAAGAAGACACCCCAAATGTGTTTAAACAAGTGGAGGCCGGGCCCGCAAGACGAACAAGTCTGTTTGAACGTGGGGGGGGGGGGGGGTCGTGAAAATCGCCCAATGTGGTGCCTGGAAGTTCACAAGACGGGTGTTTCCGTCAAAAAGTGCAGGACGGGGTTTCCAATTGCAACGCCCCCGTGCAATGGAACTGTAAACTCCAGGAGAGAGAGAGAGAGAGAGAGAGAGACAACAAAAAGCACGAGCCTCTTCTGGCCCGATTTCCAAGTGGGATGGGGGGGATAGGGATTCTTCGATTTGGAAAGCAACAATTAAAAACCCCGGGAGACATCCAGGTACAAAGAAGGCCTTGTGTTCCCTTCCGCCTGTTGCAGAAACATGCAGGAACCCATCATACAAGACATCCCGCCGACGGACGAACGCCTGCAGGATGGATGAAGCCCTACTGGGGCACCTATCAACTGAGGAACTGGTGCAGAATTTTGTCCATCCACAGCATTCCTCAACTCCATGAGCAAGTCTTCGATTGCACCTGTATTGGATTCCATGCATACCAAACAGGTTTCCATTAGTTACCTCGAACAACTTCTTCCAGGAGTATGATAGGGTATGTGCAACCACTATCAGAACCGTCCTATCTATTGGCATGGGGGCCACGGTTCCGTTCTATGGCTTTCCCAATCCTCAGCCCACGGGATGATCTCGTCACCAAGCTTCCCTTGGGGTAAATCGAGCTCACGCCCGCGACCCGCGGCCCTTGCCTGCGGATCCCGACGATCTCCAAGTGGTTTGAATCCACACTGCCACGAGACTTCCTGCCAGGTATGGCCTAGTTTCGAGAATCGACAGCTTGCCTATCCGTTCACTCCTCTCATTCACCTCCCTCGCTCCCTCCCGTTTATATTCCTCCTTCGTCCTCAAAAACGAACACGTAGTTTCCGCCCTTGACTGGATATTCGGGAAATCAAAAATGTTTGCAACTCCTAAAACTGTCAAAACAAATACGCTACTAGCGACCGCACATTTCCTTCTTAAATCTCACGCAAAAAAACCAAACTCCAGTTGCATGCTTTGATGATCAAGGCATCCCATGAGGTTCACTGGCACATCGGCAATTGCTGTGTATTGACTTTGTATGACCAATGCGTGACTGAAAACGAGTCAAATCGTATGTGTGTATGCCCAAATTATATCCAAACCACTGGAATTCGGTAAATCGCAGGGGTCTCCTAAAACACCCAGACATTTTGCGGAGTTTCAAGGTCCAGATATCGTACAGTTTGCAGAATAGAAAAGTTGACTCGGTTTCTTGAAAGGAGATTAATGAATTTTGTCGCCTTCAGCATGGCCGTGAGTCAAGCAAAGCGGCAGGTCCGTATGAAACGGGGCAGGTTTGTCAGGCTTTGAATTTCTCACGGAATCGACCATGCCAAATTGTTGAATCACCACGCCCTGGTCTTGATCAAGTCATCAATTTGATGGGAGATTCACTCAATGAAATCAGATACTTATGTTTTAGTTGCACAGCACGGCCTTGGATTTGCCTGAGGCAACTCGATCCATTACGCTTGGCCGGCCCTCGGTCAGATTCTCAGACTCGCGGGTTTTGCGCGTTGAGTCCATGTGAATCCAGTCGCCTTGCGAGCGTTCCCCCGCCGGCGCCCAATAGGTGGGGGGGGGCGGCGGGGAAGTTGGGGATTCCTTCTACGTGTGCGAAGAGTAGTTCACCCCTGTCCATTGTTTGCCCGGGCTTTGAAACATAGCGGCACGCAGGCCCGTGGTGAGAGCTTGCTACTGAAACTGCCTTCCGAACAGTGCCCAACAGTGATAGTCCAGGTGCCAACAGTGGTCGACTTACCAACCTGTCCAAAAGCAAGCCGGCCAACTTAAGCCTACATTCATTGCATGGATCCCGGCAGAAGACATCCCAGCTCTTGCTTACCAGGATGGGAGTTAAGTGACCAGGAACAGCATTTTTGAAATAAAAACACACAACAATACACAACAAGGCAAGCATATGGCAGTGATTTTTTTGAGGGGTCTGTAACAGAGCCGCGGCGGACATTCGTTACAGACCTCGTTACAGACCTCTGTAACAAAACCAGCTGGCTCGTTACACACCCCTCGTTACACACCCTCGTTACACGCCCTCGTTACACACATCAGATGAGCAAACCGGGCCAGTGACGTGACTGCCCTCCTTTTGCCGCAGCTTGGCTTGCGTTGAATAGCTGCAATCAAGTGCTTTGCTTTGCCTTGTTACAGACCTCGTTTCATAGCCGTTACATACCTCGTTACAGACCCAACCCCAGCCCGGGCCAGCGACCCCGCTTGTTGCCGCAGCTTGGCTTGCGTTGACTAGAGCTGCGGAGGCGTGCTTTGCGTGCTGCGCTTTGCTTTGCCTCGAGATCGTTTCAGACCTCGTTACATAGCCGTTTCATACCTCGTTACAGACCCAGCCCCAGCCCGGGCCAGCGACCCCTTTTTTGCCGCAGCTTGACTTGCGTTGAGTAGCTGCAAGCAAGCTGGTGCTGCGGAGGCGCGCTTTGCGTACTGCGCGTCGCTTTGCCTTGTTACAGACCTCGTTACATAGCCGTTACATACCTCGTGGCAGACCCAACCCCCAGCCCGGGCCAGCGACCCCGCTTTTTGCCGCAGCTTGGCTTGCGTTGAGTAGCTGCAATCAAGCTGGAGCTGCGGAGGTGCGCTTTGCGTCCTGCGCTTTGCTTTGCCTCGTTACAGACCTCGTTACATAGCCATTACATACCTCATTGTGCTGCGCTACATCGTGCTACTGATACTTCTTGTCAGGAAATGTTTGCCCCGTTACAGACCTGCGTAACAAGGACCTCCGTTACAGACCTCCGTAACAAGATTCGTGGCGCGTCGCTCGTTACAGACCCCTAAAAAATCATAGCCATATAAGCCAAACAAAACAAAACAAACAAACAAAGCAAACCTCACGAGGGAGTTGCTCAGCGTGGGAATGCTTGTGGTTGTTTATTTTGAGTGGAAATCATGCTGCGTGCTAAGGACTAGGCCGTCGTGGCAGGGCTAGTAGAATGTGTGTGAGCAAGAGCTGAGGTCAGGACTAAGAATTGCAAACAGTGGGGTAGATCTCCTTTTCACTTGACGTATTTTTTAAATATGACGGATTTCCTGAGATTGTTTGCTTTGCTTTGGCCGACCAATGCCGCAGCACTTCTTCGCTTTTGCAGGGCAGGGCCAGCTCCATGTGATTCATTTGGGGTTGTCAATTTTTCGGAGCACATCGGGGTTTCCCTCTGTGACTTGGCCTTCGCCCCAAATTGGTGTGTCGTTTTCAGGTTGGACCTTTTTCCATAATTTTGTCGGTCTTCCATTGGTGTCTCTGAACTCGGTGGCGCCCAGCCATCCGGTTCCATAGCTTTTGAGTCTTTTCGTGCTTAGTGGTAGAACCCCAAGTAACCCACGAGTTAAGCTTTGCGCGGGCGATCGGAAAACGGGACGCCCAGTTAAAACACCCTCAGAGTTGTGACGCCCAACTGGTTTCCGAAGAGCTGCCTTCAGAAGGGCAGCGGAGTCAAGGTGAACAGTTCCCGGCACGTGAAGAGAGGCTTGTTGCCTGTTGTGCCGGGGCCTCGACTGGGGTGGGACATGGGACTTGTGCTAGGTCGCCCAGTAGTGCCAACTTTTACCGTTTCTTTTTTGGTTGGGAGGGAAACCCCCCCTACTAAAATAGACTACCGAAAAAAAGTTGGTGCCCTTATTCTAACCTCTCTGCTGGAGGACCTAGGCCTGGGACACCATCAGAAACCAGGTTGGGCCCGAGAAAGCCAGAAAGCATGGGAGCCGCCGAAAAACCATGTTCCTGGACACAAAACCAGCGACCCTTAAACACTTAACCTTGAAAGGTCGGTCTTTTGGGGGAATATCCAATTGTTGCAAGAGTTGTTTGTTGGAGATAAGCTTGCTAGGTGGGTGGTACAGTGCGAACCTTGCAAGGCGAATGCGGTCCTCGCCCCTTGTCCAACAAGGAGTGGACGCTTTGGGCCTTTTCAGTCTTTCAAAGCCCGATGCCAGGGAGAGGAAAACCAGCCGAAACAGAGCTGCTGCGCTGCCTTTGCCTGTGGGTCTTCCGTGCCAGAAACACAGCCAACCTCTCATTCCAACTCGGGTGAGTCTCGGATCGGCTTTTCCTTGGCCTGAGGCTTGAGGTCACATATTTTCCTGCTTCGGGAATTCACACGGGGAAGTCTCTGTCTTGGGTTGAGCGTGCACGCCTTTTCGTTGGTTCGCTTGGTTTCCCTTGCAAAAATGTGTGGTGTCCAACTTGAAAACGGTTGCTTGTGTCCTGGTTTGAGGGTACCCTTACCTGAGGCACCCAACGTGCCCTTTTTTTTAGGTACGAGAAAAAAATGCTCGAATTACCGATTTCTGCTCGACCCCCAACAAAACGCTCGCCCCCCGAAAAACGCTCGACCAAATCCCCTTCTTCCATCCAGAGGAAGGCGGGCATTGTTACGGTTTTTAAATTTGCACTCGTTTGCGGATATTTGCGCTCGTTTTGCGGATATTTGCGCTCGTTTTGCACTTTGATTTCTGCTCGCTCCTTTCGAAAATTCAACGAAAGATCATCTTGGAGGACCGACCAGCCCGGTTTTGGGAAAAACGCTCGAAGCAGAAAAAAGTGTACGTTTACCATATTTTGGTGACGACCCCTGGTTTTGCAACACGTTTGGGCTAAGGGCAGAAATTTAGGTAACGAAGGGTGCTCCAGGTATTGGTGGTCTTGAAGGGAAACCAAACGCAAGGCACTGAGCACCGCGTTTGGAGTCCCACTTGCATATGGCTGCGTTCCGTCTTCGTTTGAGGCTTCTTTTTTTGGGTGGTTGTCTCAAGTAAAAAGGAAACCAAAAGAAAGAACCGTTCCTTTTTGGGTGGTCAAGAAACAGAAGCCAAGAACGAACCAGTTGAGTTTTTTTTGAGTTTTACTTCTTTTTTTGGGGTGGTTTCTCAAGAAAAAGAAACCTTCTGTTTTGAGTGGTTTGTCAAGTTAAAAAGGACACGGAAAGAAAGAGCCGTTCCTTTTTTGGTGTTCAACAAACAGAAACCAAGAATGAACCAGTTGAGTTTTTTTGGAGTTTGACTTTTTTTCGGGGGGTGGTTTTCTCAAGAATAGGGTACCTTCTTTTTTTAGTGGTTAATCAAGTGAAAGGAAACCAAACAAGAACCGTTCCTTTTTGGATGGTCAAGAAACAGAAGCCAAGAACGAACCAGTTGGCTTTTTGAGTTTGACTTCTTTTTGGGGGGTGGTTTTCTCAAGAAAAAGTCACCTTCTTTTTTGAGTGGTTTTCTCAAGTAAAAAGGAAACGGAAAGAAAGAACCGTTCCTTTTTGGGTGGTCAAGAAACAGAAACCAAGAACGAACCAGTTGAGTTGTTTGAGTTTGACTTCTTTTTTTTTTTTTTTGTGGGGTGGTTTTCTCAAGAAAACTACACCTTCTTTTTTGAGTGGTTTGTCAAGTTAAAAAGGAATCGGAAAGAAAGAGCCGTTCCTTTTTGGGTGGTCAAGAAGCAGAAACCAAAAACGAACCAGTTGAGTTTTTTTGAGTTTTACTTCTTTTTTTTTTTGGGGGGGGGGGTTTCTCAAGAAAAAGACACCTTCTTTTTTGAGGGGTTTGTCAAGTTAAAAAGGAAACGGAAAGAAAGAACCGTTCCTTTTTGGTGGTCAAGAAACAGAAACCAAGAACGAACCAGTTGAGTTTTTTTGGAGTTTGACTTTTTTGGGGGGGTGGTTTTCTCAAGAAAAAGAAACCTTCTGTTTTGAGTGGTTTGTCAAGTTAAAAAGGAAACGGAAAGAAAGAACCGTTCCTTTTTGGGTGGTCAAGAAACAAAACCAAGAACGAACCTGTTGAGTTTTTTTGAGTTTGACTTCTTTTTTTTGTGGGGGGGGTTTTCTCAAACAAATATACCTTCTTTTTTGAGGGGTTTGTCAAGTTAAACGGGACACCAAAAGAAAGATCCGTTCCTTTTTGGGTGGTCAAGAAACAGAAACCAAGAACGAACCAGTTGAGTCTTTTTGGAGTCTTACTTTTTTTGTTTGGGGGGGTGGTTTTCTCAAGAAAAAGAAACCTTCTTTTTTCAGTGGTTTGTCAAGTTAAACAGGAAACGGAAAGAAAGAGCCGTTCCTTTTTGGGTGGTCAAGAAACAAAAGCCAAGAATGAACCAGTTGAGTTTTTTTTGAGTTTTACTCTTTTTTTTGGGGGGTGGTGGTTTCTCAAGAAAAAGAAACCTTCTTTTTTGAGTGGCTTGTCAAGTTAAACAGGAAACGGAAAGAAAGAACCGTTCTTTTTTGGGTGGTCAAGAAAGAGACCCCTTGTTTTTGGTGGTTTTTTGAAGCTTCAGAGAAACCAAGAACGAGGCTTTTTGTTGGTTTTCCTCCCCCCCCCCGGGGAAAAAAAAAAAAAACATGAAAACAAATGCAAAAACAGGAAAAAAACGAACTCGCTCGCTGGCTTCAGGCGGTTTTTTTCTGTTTCTCGCGCCTTAGGCCGGGCGTGGCGAAGGCCGCCACGGACACCGCGTGAGACGCGAAAACGCGAGGCCAAGGCGCGAACAGCCGGGGGGGTCAGAGCACCGTGAAACCGATTTGATTCCCCGATTTGCGCAACATTGCGGCAGCGCAAGCAGCTCGAAGGAACTTTGGTCTTCCCCCGAATTAGTTGCCCTTTCTATTTTTTTGTTTTTTTGGGGGGTTCCCTTTGTTTTCCACTACCAGGCAAAACAAATGCGGTTTTTTTTGCGGGGGTCCTAATTCCAGCCTAGTGGTGACTAGTTGGTTTGCGGCTAGATTCCATGCGTTTCGATCGGCCAGCTGAATTGTCCTCTGGATGGGGGAAAAGGATTCCTTGCCCGCATCGAAGCATCCAAGTGCCAAGGGCCCAAAAACATGAAAGCCGCAGTTGCTGAAAAAAACTTTCCTGGCCAGTGGAAACCAGGAAAAAGACTCACGGGCCCCGGGGTGTTTCTCAACTTGGTGGCTGGTTGGCAACCGAGTGGAAACCGCCCATTTCGGGGTTCCAACCCAACAGAGAGAGAGAGAGAGAGAGATCCCTATTTGTCAATCGATCGACCAATCAGCTAACCAGGGCAGTCTTAATTTAGTTTCACAGCTGATTTTGGACATGCTACATGTTGACTGGAGAGTGGTTTGACACGGTTCCCTACATTTCCTCTTTCAGCACCACTTGAAAGGACACTCACTTTAGATGCGCATGCTTATTAGGGTGCGCTGCTTGAGTTGCACTCATTCACGGCTTGAAAGGCCTTTAGCCCAGCTTTTGCATTGCCTAATTCATATCTGAATCCACTGCTTCAATGCCTTCCCAAATCTGAATAGCCCTGACAAGGTATCCCTCAGTTGCCGAATGCTAGATCATGTGCAAGTGGATCATCTTTGCTTGACTAGGTTGCCCTGTAGTTCCCTTTTACCCTTTTTGGGGGAGGGTTTCCCCACTAAAATAGACGATTCAGAAAAAACAACGAGGTTTGTTCTGATTTCTTCGGCCTGCCATCCGGGCCCCGGACCTTGCGCTTAAGGCCCATAGCAGTCCACAACCAGTTTCAGGTAGAGAGTCCTCTAACTGGCGGGTCGTTCCGGACGAGCAAATGAGCAACACAGAAGATTGTCAGAGCTAACGTAGATGACTCAAGAAGTTCATCTTATGGCGCAGATTTGTTCATGGCGCTCATGCGCGCAATTCCGGACCCAAGACGACTTTTTTTACCACAAAACCACAAGCAAACGAGCAAACGGTTCAGGTTTCCATGCACCAGCCAAATGGAACAGTGTATGCCGATGATGGCTGCAATGAACTAGCTTCCTTGTATGCAGCTTCCCTCATTTGTTGGTGGCTTGGATTTGTGGTTTGGAGGTAGTTAGGGGTGGTGTGTGATTTACCCTCAACAGCCAGGGTTCAAATCCCCCAAACAACCTACAGTAGATCCACCCCTCTAAGATATTAGAAGACTACTAAAAGACTACGAAACAAGGACCAACCGGGGGAAGAACAAGTGAAATCCGCATCCAAACCGTTTTCTAGAAAGGTGTCCCAAAGCCGGCCTAGCAATATGGTCAACGTTGGCTTGCCCTCCGCTACTCGCACCCCCCCCCCCCCCCTACGCACCCCCCCCCCCCCTACGCACCCCCTCCCCCCCTAATGCATCGTATGGCAATGCTCTCCCCTCGGGCGCATTATGTGCAGTGGGACGTTTTATCTTTGGTGCATTTTGCTTGGATGTTAGGACTTGAACTTATTGCCAACTAATGGGTTTTCCAGGTTTCCATTAAACCACTATAAGTTAAACTTTCAGCAGGGGAGCAGAAAGCAACCGAGTTATGGGCAGGATACGCCACAGGCCATCCAAGCTTTTTGACACATCTCAGGTTTTGCAGCAGCCAGAACTCAAACTCGCAGAGATCCGACAGGCAAGTCGTCAATGCGTGAGCCATAGAACGCCAAGGTGTTTGTAAAGAGAGCCGCTGTCAGAACGTGCCTGGATCAAACATGACATGAAGCTCTCATTTGAATGTGTGGTTCGTTGGTGCAGTTATGTGTGTTGACATTCTGACAGCACGAGGTTGGGCATTCTTAGGCTAAATAGGTGGCCGGCGGCCAGTTTATGCCTAGACAATGGTTCGGATGCGCCTTTTGTGGATTTCACCAGTTCTTCCCCCTGTCGGTCCTTTTTTGGAAATCTTGTAGTAGTATCTCTTCTAATATTCTAGAGGGGGGTCCACAAAAGCCACATCCAAACCTTTCTCTAGAGCTTATGCCACTTTGTTCTGATGTTCAGCCTTGCGGATTGCAACCTCTTGTTGCGGTGGGATACCCAGCAGGTTGCGACACTGCTAGCCATCAAGCTGTGAATTGCCTGGCCCAGAATAGATCCATATGGATCGCGACGAACAGTGACATTTATGCCGCCACGAGCAGTGTACCTGTATAGCTACCATAGCTTTGAGCTGCAAGTGCCAACAGGCCATTTGATTTTGAGCCCCTCCGAGTTGCAGAGTCGGGCGAGAATGTGGCGCACTCTCTTGGTGGACGTGTTCAAAGCTATGTATTTTCCGAAACGTGTTAACCATCTTTGGCAAATTGATTTTGGTAGCTTGTCAGTTTGCTACAGTCTCCTCTGCAGCTTTTGGCAGAGCGGGAACGTTTGGCTCACGAGATGACAACTTGCTTCGGAGCAATCGGAAACACAGACCCACTCGGACACACACAGCACTTAAAAGGGAGCCAATTCTGATTGACCTGGAGCAGATGAATCTGCCAATGAACCCTCCTTTAGCTGACACAGTGAGGGTGCTCTCGCCTGTGAGTCTGACTGGCCTTCAGCTGATCAATTTATCCGTCGGCGGTTTGTTGCGACCGCTGCATAGCTTCCTGGGTTGTTCAAAATCAGTCCGCAATATTATCCCAGATGGTCTTACTTCTTGCGGTGGGCGGCACGAAACATCGGGGCCCATACATTTCAGGATACATGTTGAACAACCCAAGGCTTATCAAAGTTTGAAAGCGAATCGACCGGATCTCAGCTTTTGAAATCCTTGACCGGCATGGGCTCTTTTTGTTGGGTTCCACGTTAGTCATGGCCCGAAAAGGTCACCGCTCGCCTGTTGGTTTGGTGTCGGTTGGGGCAACGAATTAAGAACTCGACAGAGCCCGGGGGTCCGGGGGTTGGGGGGGTCGGGGCCTGGCCTGGGTGGGACAGACCCATTGGCGACGGGAGATCAGATTTCTGCTTTGGGGTCATGGAGGTTTGTGAGTGAGTCCTTCAAAGGCTGTTGTCCCAGTCCCATAGCACTCTTCCTAGGACCAACACAAAGGGATGTGTTGGGGGGGGGGGGAATGGTCCGGGGAGTGTCGCAGTTGAACCTTTGCATAAGATTCAGCGATGGATGAACCGACGGAGAACGACAATACCAAACAACTGGTGCAGGAGTTTGTCTCCAGTTGAAAGGACATGCCATGGGAAAAAAGGTATGTTGCCTTGCACAAACTGGGGGGTAATTATTGGTTTGGGGTGATGGTTGAAGGTGGCAATACCTGCCCATGGTTTTATCCCGATAAAGGCAGTGCCATCCAGGGTGTAGTGGAAGCCATTTAGTCCATGCACGGACTGCGCCGTGAGTTAATTTCCCACCCAGCCCAGCCGTTGCGAAACTTGAGCGCAGAGTTCTGCGCTGCGCGCGGCAGGAGCCGGGCATTACAACCTCACGAGGGCCCAAAGCGGCCAGCAATCCACTTTGAAAGGGAGAACTTCCCCATCTCACTTGTGCTGGACTCTGTCTTCTTTTCAGTGCCTTTGGCCGCACAACCTTCGCTTCCAAACCCACCCCAAGGGTATTTGTTTTCAAGTGGAAAACAGTTGGAATGGGGGAAATGAAGCCTTGGAACACCCAAAGTGGACACAAGTCGCGTTTCACGCGATTCGGTCGAAAAGACCTGGATACAAATGGTCTTGAAAGCTTGCCTCAGATCATACATGACATCCCGTCAGGCTTGGGTCCGGCCTGGTTTAAGCAACCAGACCAGATCTTGGCCCACTTAAAACCCCGCACCTGCATGGTTGAAGCATTTTCCACCAGGCGCCAAGGCGTCATGGTTTGTGCGCAACCTTCCGCCAACCGCTGCCTGACTAGCCTCCGCGCAGCTCATCTCTTGTTGGATGACAAGCTGGGCGCCAAGTCTGCGGCTTGCGGTCGAAAGGCGGGGGAGAAGGCAATCGGCAGCCAAGGAGTTACGGACCGAATCCCAGACTCGGGCGGAGATTCCTTGCGGGCGTCTTTGTTTCGGGGACCCCCCTTCAAACCCTCACACCCCCAAACCCTCGCACCCCCGAACCCTCGCAACCTCAGACCCTTTGACTCTCACACCCTCACACCCTCACACCCTCAAACCCTCACACCCTCAGACCCTACCCTCAAACTGGTGGTTTCCCTTTTGGTTTCCTGATAAGCCAACTCCCGAAAGGGGCCCGAGGAACTTGGCCGTAGAGTGCAAAGGGCTCGTTTTGGCTCCTCCAAACTCTGGAGGCATTTGGCCTTTTTTTGGATGGCATTTGGTTGCCAGTGATGGAGGTTCTCCTGAATTTGATGGGATGTTTCAATTTTCGCCAATCTTTTCTCAAGCTGCCAGTTGGTACCTTGATGGTTCAAAGGGAGATGTAACCAAAAGCCATGTTCGACGCGCCTGACTCAAGGCGCTCGCCCGTGCCCAGCCCATGCCGCGGATGCGACAAACGCGAATCGAAACAGATCGGGCCTGCTTTTTACATCCCGATCCGGTTCGTGCAGTGTTTTATTTACTGGCGTCTTGCTCTCAGCGCCAATGTGTGAATTTTGAGAGGGAGAACCTGCAGTTGTTCATGTAGATCATGTTCACCAAAGGGCCCTACTTAACATTCACACCCAAATGAAAGTTGGGCATATGAGGAAAAAGGCGCCACGCTGCGGCATCGGGTGGTCGGAAGGTGTTTGTTGGCTGCATTGGTATCGTTTTGATTGTTCCTATTTAAAAAGTCATTGGGGGAGGCCACTTTTTGCATCTAAATCTAGCAGGCGCTATACATGCCCATGTTTGTTTCACTGTTTTAAGCATGTTGGGACAAAGAAGGCATCCAACTGGCTAAATCTGCAGGAAATGAAGCCACCGTCTTGACCTGATGTTCCGCGCTGCTTAGTTTTGGCCCAGTTCAAGTTGGGTTTCCACAGGGAAGCCAGGTTTCTAGGGGTAACTTCCATTTACATTCTTTTCAGGGATCCGGATCTCTCTAGAAAACCACCCAAATCCCTGGGGAAAGGGCGATCGGTTTTTGAAAAGAACAATGGCTGAATGAGAATGGAAAAGGAATCAACCCCTAGACAGATGTGTAACTAGGTCCCCCAGCCAGGTGCCAACTTTTACCGTTTCTTTTTTTGGTTGGGAGGGACACCCCCTACTAAAATAGACTATTCAGAAAAAGAAAGTTGGTACCCTAAACCCTAACCTCTCTACTGGAGGACCTAGGCTTGGCAAACCATCAGAAACCAGGGACCCAAGAAAACCGCAGCTTCAGGGCCGAACCTCGGAACCTTTGGAGCGTTATATCGCATAGCCATGCCGCAGCTTTTTCCTGGGCTCGGTTTGGCCTCCGTGTTGACGCGAGATTCACGTGAAGCTGCCATGGTTTAGAGACAGATGGGTATGGCTCAGAATTAAAGAGCTACAGTTACGCAGGTTTTAGTCGTTGGTTCCATTTGCCAAGGTGCCATTTTGGTACCACTTTTGTGAGCCACAGCCAGATGGCCACCCAGGGGACTTAGGCAATAGCACGTTTTGTTTCTTTTTTGTCTGTGTGTGTTGCCAAGGCTAAATCAATGCCTTCAGCCCTTTTCGGATGCAAGTGGAAAGAGTTGCTGAATCAACTTGGTGTTTCGAGTCACTCATTTGGAACACATTCCGATTTCACGCACAGTTGGGCTGCTTGTTGTGCTTTCCCGCAGCTGCTTTGCAGTTCAGCTATGGTTGGCTTGTTCGCTGGAACATGGATATTTGTTAAAGTCCTCCCTGTTTTGGAGCGCTTTGAAGGGAAGCCATGCGGATACCATTTGTTAAAGCTTTGCATTCGGGGCAGAATATCAGCGCGCCGATTCTTGGGAAACGAGCAAATCAGCCAAGGCGATCTAGTTTCCTGCAAAGATACGTTGGCACACAATTGCAATCGGGATTGAAACTTATGCGTAAACCAGCCATCAAGTATTTTATTTTATTTTCGGGTTCCTTTCATGAGTGGCCGTCTCCAGGTCCTTGAAGCAACGGCACAGAAGCGCCCCAACTAGACGCTCCACAAGGAACTGCTCCCTGAAACTTACTTGCCCAAAGCGAACCGACCTTTTTTGAGTTTTCGGGGTTTGGTCTATTTTTAGTCACCCCAAAAGGGGATCAGCTTTTATTTTCAGGTCCTTTGGGCAAGCGCCCCAACTGGACGCTCCACAATGTGTTTTTTTCCACGTTTGGAACACCCTGAAATGTTGTTGCTGGGCATCAAACCCCAGTGATATTTCCCCAAGTAGAGGGTCACACCCGCAGGCTCGTAGCATGTATCCTTTGCTGGCAACTGTCAACCCATCCTGCCGCATAGCACTGATTCAGGTTCAACATGGTCAGAAGCCGCACTTTCACAATCCAGCACATGGTCAGAACGTGTGTTTTTGGCGTTCAAGGGCACATGGGGTGTGTCGGCGTATGCAAAAGCAGTGTCTGAGCTGCTGCGTGTTTTGTGATTGTTTGCCAAGCGTCTTGCTAGGGACACGCTGTCGTTTGGTTGCTTTAACCACGGCTTGCCCGCGCTTTGGCTTCCCAAGGCCAAGTTTCAGAGAGATGAGCCTGCCGTGCAAGGCGCCCAGATGCGGCAGTTAGTCGTTGGTGTGTTTCCCGAAGCTCCGTAGTTCTAGGTGGACCCTGGAATGAATCTGTGGGCAATATGGTGGGCAATATCCTGCAATATGGTGGGCAACAGTTGCAGGGTTCCATTCATCCCGACTGGTGAGAAGCTTTTTGTTCCACCGTCTCACCGTAGTATCACTTCCCAGAGGAACCTTGCCGATCGGTCGGTTCTGGTTCATGTCGGCGTGATCCCGAGGTCGCTTTGCCTGTCACCCCTCTTCCGCGAAGGTGCCGCAGGCCCAAAACGGGCCGCCAGTCGGACCGAGGAAGCAACTCCCTGAATTGAAGACCCAAATTGATGCGGAAGTTTGGTAACTTCTCATCCCTCGGTTCAAATCCAAAACCAAAGCAAGCCAATGGAATGCCAGAATTACTTGCTGAAAGCTAAGGAGAAACAACTCGTTTTTTGATTTCCCCCCCGAGTTGAAGGATCCAGTTCAAATCCTTGACTGACTCATTTGACATGGATATAGTCGGCTCGAAGCTTGGCAAAATTCCGTGGGATTAAAAAACTATATGTGATACTTCTTTTGCGTATAGGCTCCAGTTGTTTGGTGGTTTTGGTTGTAACCAACGGAAAGCCTTGTTTCTTATAAAGGCTCCCCTTTTTTTT